GAAGATATTAAAATCCAAACAGAAATATGGAAATGGATTATTTTTTTAATTTTAGATCACACTAGCAATTGTCTTCTACAGAGCACTGAATTGTTCATTTTCTGCTATCCATGACAAATTGAAGGAAGTTTGTATTGAAGAATGTGATTATAGAAGTAACTAACATAGGGACTAAAGCAGGGGACCAAGGACTTTCAGTGAGTTTTACATACTTGCCACAGTTTATGGTTAACAGCAGTGTTGGTATGAACTTACTGACCTTAATTGTCACAATGTAAGTTTTCTGTTTCAATTACCTGGAATTCTGTTTCAATTAATTCTGTTTCATTGAATTCAATTCAATGATGCATATATTTAGTCTTAATGGTTACTCCTTAATGATCAATATGGCATCCAGTTTTTCAATGGGATTGGAAGCCAGAAGAAGCTAACGTGAAGAGGCTGCTATAGTCCAATTTTGTCGGTGTTAATAAAAATCTCTGGAGTCACTTAGAGTCCAGTTCCGGAACACTCAGTTCTTTTATTCTGAAAATCCTAAATTGTCAAATCTGGAGGTGATTAAAAACTACGAGAGTAACAGACACCTGTGTGTCTTTTCAGGATTTTAAGTGTTGGTTTCGGAATTGGACAGAGACAGGGTCAACCCCTGTTACAACACGGTCTTGGAGTTACAATGTAAAGACTTTGAGCCACCTGCCTTATCAAAAGAGACTAGAGCAGGAAGCGGTATAATTGGAGAAACAATCTGAATGTCGCAGTAGACTGATTCCAACATTTTCATCATTAAGGTCATCAAAAATAGACTTTTATTATCTTTAAATATGTAATCTTTAACAGCGGTTAGGAAAACCCTGTTCAGATAGGCTCTAAGAAATAATAGTTTGATTGAGAAAAGAAATATTTAAAATGTAGTCGATTGTCTTGAGTATTTCACTAAAATTAGAGATAGTAAATGTAACATAAACGGATTGTAGAGAAGAAAGTACAGCTGGCAATATATCCCAAGGTGAAAGCTCACACAGGGCTAGGGGGATTTTATCACGGAATGGAGGAAGAAAATGAGAATGGAATATATTTTTGGGGCTGTCAGTGCAAATCCAGAGCAGGGAATATAAGTACAATTGAAAGAATGCTTGTGAAAAAGAGGGAAATGAGATTAGTCCATCTGGACTGGGATTCCAAAGGCGCTGCACAGATCAATAAATAATATTCCGGTCAGAAAGAAAAGGCTTATTAAAATAAATTAGTCACTGTAATTTCCAGATTTCAGCCCAGTTCTACATTGTGCGAATTAAAAATATATTAAAAAAAAATTATATTACATGTTGGGTAACCAGAGAAAAACAGCAGAAGTTTCTTTAGAGGTATTATTGTGAGTGTGCCTTACAAAACAGTGCAGTGCCAATTTTAGGCTATTTGTATTAGTTTTGCTCCTGACAACATTTTGTATGCTGTGGCAAATATTATGTTTTTAATTTTTCTTACTGTCATATGGTGCCACATTATGACTGCCTGAGTCTCACCAACACCTGTAGTGTGCCCTGCACTGTTTGCAGATGGTGCCTTGACATTATCAGTATGACAGTACAGTACTCCTCAGAGACAAAGTCCAATTTCCCATGTGCAATTGTTGTGTATATTGAGCAGCTCATCTCTAGTGTAGTGCTGAAAGCACATGGCTCTTGTCGTTACTGACTCTGGACATCAGCCAATCGCAGCATCGCGAAGAAAGGCACAGTTTAGAGCAGCCAATCAAAGGTAGCCAACATGATGGTGGGAGGAGGAAAGAACGCAGTGTCTGATGAACATCCACACGAGCAAGGGCAGAACAATCCTAGTCCGCAACCAGAACTCCGAGGGTCCAAATTCTGGAGCTGGCAGGCAGCTGCGCTGAGCCCACCACCAGCCTCCTGTCTGTCCCAGCAAGCAGCAGCCAGTGTTTATCCAGTAAATAAATTGGCACATCACCGTCAGACTGCTCTCTTTTCTTCTTTTTCACACACTGGCTTTGGAACGAGTTGACTTTGATGTGTTGTTTAAACGGCTTTGTGGTGGGTGAGAACTGGATTGAAGGATCTCCATAAAATTGTTTTGCCGTTTGCTCGAAATTGTATTTCCAAGTTTAACTGAACTTTGGAAATATTTTGTTGCAATCTAAAAACTCAATAATAATTATGTCAGAGAAGCACAAGAGGTAGTATATAATAAATGCACTAAAAAAAAATATTGGGAAAATATTTGTTGGACAACCTCAGAGATTACCTACCACTTAATAATGTTAATAATGTGTAGTTCATCAACCACATTTCTTGTTAAAGAATAATAGTTTAACATGAACAGCCTTGTGAAATTATTTAGTCTTATTTTATTTGGCCTGAAGCTGTTTTTTTTATCTGATTTGTCTTTAATAAGTCACATGGTCAAAAATATGGGGAAGCAACTTAAAATAAGAGGCTTTAGAAGAGGTTAAAATCAACTAGGATAAAAGTGTTATTAAATTAAGTGTTTTTGAATAAATGCATTTGCCAGCAAACGCATAAAACAAACAAACCTGGGACATAGATGGCTGTATGTTTTAAATACTTTATGAGATTGTAAATAAGCAGGGAGACTCAAAAACGAAGCATGAACTGAAAGGTTATGCGTATTGAGCTATAAACACAGACACTATTTGCAAATTACTAAGTAAAGAACTGTGGCAAATAACATTCATTTGTCAGAGTCCTTGGGGTCTCTCCTGGTTAAACAGCAAATAACTGAAATAATGGGATTCGCACAATAGACACAACGCAGTACATTAATTAGGATGCTATAACAGCAACATTTTCTCTGTGTGGGGCAATCAAGCTATGGTATCTACCTGGGCTGGAAATAAATTGAGCTGCCAGCCATTGTGTGCGCATGTCTTCTCGTTACGTGATTAAAATAAATTATTTATTGCCTAAGTAAACAGTAAATCCATTAAAAATGGTTTCTCACCTTCATCAGAAATACATCCCATCCGATACATGCAGAAGGATGAATCAACTGAACAAAAATCAGCAACACCTTCCAGAAACAGAACAACAGTGGTTTTAAAGGGAGAGTAGGAACCAAATGTATAAAATGAATCGATAAAATGGAGATATCTTGAGATTTTTCACCCAACTTTTCTTTCAGTGAGGGATTTGATTCTCTTGTAGATTTTAAGAAGGTGACGTAAAGAACTAGTTCTCTGGAGGTTGTTTTTAATCAAATAGTTTTGCATGACAACAAATCAGGACGAGACGAGCATGAGGGCCGTGGTTTCGACATTAAATTGAGGTTTAAGAAATGAACAAAACATGGTAGATAGATAGATAATACTTTATTAGTCCCTTAGGGAAATTGATGGCAGATGACAGGTTCATAACAAGGCAATTAGGTTCAGTGCAGGTTTGATTCAGCTAGTTACTTTTGTCTTCAAAAACAAAATGTGCAGTAGTTAATACACTTCTTGTAGATTTGAATATGTGTTGAATCTGAATATTAACTGCTGCTTTAAAACCATTGTTACATTTGAATAAAATCTCGTTTTTGGGCTGGATGACTGGTGGGAGTTACCCCAAACTGCTCACGCTTGTGACTCTAGCTGTGGTAGAGAGTTTTGACATGTGAAGACCAGAGGTCCTTGCAATGCTCCAGTTTTTTAGCATTACTTATCAAGCACCTAACCAGCCATCCTCTTTTTTTCTTCTGAGTGTTAGGCCAGTCATTGTGTGATTGTCCCATAAACGTTTTTGGTCCTACAAACAAAAGGCACTTTGCCTTTACTTGCAATGAATTTCGTCTCTCTCATTCTGCTGGCGGATTGTGAAGCAGTCTGTGGGAGTCATTGTGACACATTGTCAGTCAAATCTTTATCATTTTCACCTTTCATTTCAACCCAGATTCCAGCATACTGACTCTGGTGTGTGGTGTGTGGATTCACTGATTGTAATTTCGTGTCCAGTACCAGTGCTCCTCTTCTGCCGTTAGCCTTGTTCTTCCAGACAGCTTAGAGCAGAGGTGCACAGCTCCAGTCCTGGAGAGCCACAGCGCCTGTGGGTTTTTCATTCCTCCTCTGCTTTTAATGACATAGTTTAATTTAATTGGACCAGTTTAGCACTTTTCAAAGGTCTTTAGCTGTTCGTGATTTAAAGAAACCTGGAAAACCTGCCTTATTCTACCCTCAAAGACTGGATCAGGACATGTGAATCATCTCTTGAATTTAATCATTTTTCGCAAAACTCTGAGAACTCCAGCATCTTATAGAACAGGCATTTTGAAAAAGGGCGGTGTAAGTTGTTTCGATTTAAATTTTGAATTTGTACAGTTCGTGTTCTTTTAAGAATAATACTTTAAATTAAAACAAATTGAACTCAACAATTGTTTCCAAATTGAGAAACTGACACCTTACAGTAAAAGCATAGTCAGAATTGAGTACTTTCTGGCAAAAGGTGCACTTCAAGTGTAATCAAAAACCTCCAGAATTGATTCTTGGTATAAAAATAATAATTTAACATGTTCATGGCATTTCTTCAAGATGCGGTTGTTGAAGAGGTTTGTGGGTTGATATTCTTTTCCTCAAAATATCTGTGAAGTGATTTAATATACAAACCAGCAAGCTAGTGTTGCTGTACTGTAAAATGGTTGCATTATATTTTGACTAAACTGCTAAAACAATGAGAATTTTTAATTGATATGAATTTGTTTGTATTTACACCTTTATTTTTTCCTTTTTTAGTTTTATTGAAAACAAACTCTTACACACAATGGTACAGTATATGTACACACATACATACCCACAACTCAAGACAAACTGTAGAAAAATCGAAACCCAGGCATTCAGTCCTGCTCGCCAAGCCTGTTTGCTACACCAGGAATCTAATCAAGTTTCATTTGGAATCTAATCAAGTTTCATTTGATTTCCTAAAAAGTGCATATACTGTTTATTAAACTCCATCTAGGGAACACTTTCTAATCTTGCTTTTTTGACACAGGATGTCCTAAATAACCTTGGCTCCTGTGAGCTTGATGAAGATGACCTCATGCTGGACCTTGACTTCTCTGACGATCAGCGACATCGTTTCGGTAAGTCAGCAACAGTCAGAATCGCTGCTCTTCAGATTTTTAACCTCATGGTTACAACTGCTGTTCTCCTCTGTAATGATAGAGAACAAAAAAACAAACCAATTGCTTCCAAGCCTTAGCAATGCTGAGGCATAGCTCCAGGGCTCTAGGGTTTACTCAATGGCTGTAATTCTTACTTGGATTAGATCTATATCCTGTTTCTGAATATGCATGATGTTATTTTCTTAGACCACACTGTTCTATAAGTTTTATATAGACACACTGTGGCTCAACATAACAGAAGCAATTGGGAAGGAATGGCTTTTGAAAAGCTGAACTACTGAGATATAGTTATTATTCTCCCACTATTGTTTTAGGCTTCTCAAGATTTTTTTGTAGATTTTCTTATTACAAGGAAGTCTACAGTGTAATCATCATATGTGTCACCTGCTGGGGATTACTTATAAATAGCTTTTTGTATGAGCTGGAAATGGCTTTCAATAAAAAAAAAAACTAAAAGTATTCAAATTATATGACAAAACACTGCAATATTTATGCAAGCTCTGCCTTGTGATCTCTTCAAAAGAGATCCTGTTTTATCACTGCACTTTATTGTATTACTCTATAATAAAGATTTCTCTTCCTTTCATGTGCCACAGCTCCATTGTTTAAATTGACTCAGATATTAATTTATTTGTGTGTGTAACAGTTAATTTTATCACCTAATGTGAGACTTAATTATGCAAGTGTGGTAAAGCTTGGGAGATTTTGTAACATATTGCATCAACCAGTCAACTGGAGTGGAGAGAAAGAAGCAAGCCGTTGTGATTCTTTTAGACATTGGGTCTTTGTGGAATAGGAGGGCAAAGGAAAACCATGGGAATAATTTTATGTGTCATAGCTTCCAACAGCCGAGCTCTTATGTCTGTTTATATAGCCTGTAACTTGTTCCATTTATGTAAAAATTGCTAAGCAAATAACCAACAGCAGAATAAATATTGATCCAGTGACTGACAGTTTCATTGACAGCATCAACAAAAAGAATATGAATATTGATTGAGAAGCCTTGCTTTCTACATGGACAAGCTTATCCTACAGGAAAGTTTAGAAAGATTAGATGTAGATCTTTTGTGCTGGAGGCTTTTTATTTCTAGAAAAATCCATGCGATGCCACGGACAACACACCATTTACAGACCCCTTTTTCTTGCCTCTTCTTCTTTTCAAAGGGATCAACCATTTACAGACCCCTTTTTCTTGCCTCTTCTTCTTTTCAAACGGATCATTTATTTTAGTGATGGACATATTATGGGTCAGAGTTTCCTAAGGGGTTACAGGCAGCCGATCTGCTCATACATCATTACAACAAGACACTCCGTCCTTTCCTTCATAACTCTTTTAAATGACATTTTTTCAATTTTTCTTCTTCTTTGACAAATAGATTTGAGATTTTAATTATGCTTTGGAAGATGGACATCTCCCAAGGTCATTAGGTTCCAGCTAGTTCTTTGTAAATACTAAGCTTTTAACCTAGCAACCCCCTTTGCACAACAACAGCAAAAACTAACAGTGTACAATTGGTTTACAGAGTGAAGGCTAGTCAGGACATCTAGCGTCTGTTGTTAGTAGCTTATTGATCCCAAGCACCAGTTATGTTCTCTGATAGGTTATAGATATAGGTTTATCTTTGAAGTTTTAACTAATATTCTTCAGTCATTTTCAGGGGAAATGAAAGTTTTCCACTTTAATTCATTGGATATACTTCACTGGCTGGCGGGTTGCAGGTTGAGATTCAGTTTTCTTTTATACCTCTTGTGACATGATTTGAAGTGCTAGTATAAATTTTGCGTCTTTTATCTGAACACTTTCTAGAGAAGTGATCCTTTCTTTAATACAATGACCAATAAAGAACAGTTTTTTGCTTTAAGGTTAATGGAACAGCTGGTGATTCTTATTTTTCCTAATAATCACCATATTCCCAGTATTAATATGATCAGATATGCAGACATTTTTTTCTAATCAAATGACTTAAACTTAAATGTTCTGAATGTTATCAAGTCATATTAAAACATTAAGTTGGCCTACCATTCATTAAGAAACCTACCATTCAGTTGGTTTGAAGTCAGTTTCTTAATTTTCTTCAAAGTACAATGAACTTTAGCAATGTGTAAGCAGTGCGAGAGAGTGCTGGATGTTTCTAAGAAGGATATTTAAATGTTGTGTGCACTCAGTAAGTCTTAAAGTAGCAGACTGATCACAAGACAAATGATGGCTGGATGAGATCCTAGGATCAGTCAACTCCTAGTTAAGAAAGAGTTTGGATGCTCCTGTGTTCTTAAGCACTTTGAATAAGAACCTTTACCAGACATTTTCAGAACAGAGGTGTGTCACTCTTTGTGTTTTCACTCTTTTGAGCTCTTAATCTCTTATTTGTGTACTATGTTCATGAGAACATTCATTGTGTTTCAAAGATCTGCCAAAGGCATGTAGAATCTCTTTGATTGTGATTTTTCCAGCACTAGGTGGTAAGTAAATTTATGCAACAAAAAGAAGAACATACAAAAGAGAATAATTTTAGTTTCTGGACTTTGCAGGATGTTGCACAAACAATGTTTCTATGAGCAGATTTGAGGAAGGAAGTATATTTTAAGCATCTACCCATGTCCTAGCAATTTCATCCAATTCAGGGTCTTGGGGGAGCTGGAGCCTATCCTGGCAAGCAACAGGCACAAGGCAGGGTACAACCTGGATGGAACGCCAGTCTATTGCAGTGCACACACAGATACAAAAACACATGCTCACACCAGGGCCAATTCTCCCAGAGCCAATCTACCAGCATGTCTTTGGACTATGGGAGGGGGAACTGGAGCACCTGGAGAAAACCCACTCAGAGAGAACACACAAACTCCAAGCAGATAGAGCCCAGGAACTGAACCACTGCTCCACAGTGCTGTTAATAAACCTTTACCTCTTGGTATAAGGTATCATTCACTGGAGAATTTAAAATGCAATTCATCTGCTCAAATAATGTAACATCATTTCATATGCACCATTCAGACTATGGCTTTGGAAGACATTCCTCTTTGGGAAAGCTATTTTTAATAGGTTACATGGTGTTTTGATGGATGCATTGAAAAGTGCTGGAGCAGAAAATGATTCCATATGGTAAGAAGCTCTGTGGTCATGGATGGGTTTTTCAGTTCAAAAGCTTATTTTTCTTCACAAGATTCAGAGAATGGTCAGTTCAATCATTTTATTTTAAATCCTGTGGAGCAGGAACCAACAGCAGCAGTAGCTGGGCTAAAACAACTGAGAAGAAAGAATGTGTGGTCACATCTTACAAAGCCAGAAATGTCAAAAGAACACTAATGAATTCGAGGAGGCAAAGGTCAACAGCATTAAGACTGAGCACGTCCCTTCATTGAAGGAATAATATCAGCAAATACTGTAATACCAGTGGAGCCTCACATATCTGTGCTCAGCTGTGTAATTGTCTCAAATCTGTTTGGAAACTTACAATGCCATTTGTTTCATTTCTGATGATGATTATTAAGGGATTTCCGAATGCAAAATATTAGATTAACTTTCATGGCTCTGATTTTCACTTCTTGTTACATAACATGGACATGCGATCTGTTTTCTGATCCTGGTACTGACAGACAGGTAAAGTTCAGGCTTGTGGCTCTTTGTCTTTGGCTCTGTTATCCTTTGTGGTTTTTTTTGTGCTTTAAATTTATTGTCCAAACAAACATTTTGTCTTCTACAGTTAACACTGACGAAAATCATTTTTTTTAAATATCTCCTGAGATATAGGTCATGTCATCTTGGGTTTTTATCCATCAGGCAGTAGTGAGTTTTGGAGTTCAGGGCTTGGGACTTGTTACTGTAAGATTGTGGGTTCGAAACCCAGGTGAGACCCTGCTGTTGCATCCTTGAGCTAAGTGCTTCACTTAGACTGACTTCAGGAATACCGAGCTGTAGAAATAGGTACAAAACCAAGGCACTGTGGATAAAAGTGTGAATTAAAACGAATTGATTATAATTAATGAATAATAATGTAATTTCTTGAATGCAGACATTTTCCAGGCTGTGAATGAAATGAAGTTTGCCTTACTGTAGGTAAGCAGTGAAGCCATGCTGCAAAATAATGAAATCTTCAAAGGGAGCAGACCTCCCGTTCTGAGTGGCACTGGAATATAATAGTGCAGTGTGTGAAGGTATTAGAAACCGCAGGCTGCAGGGGCTGGAGAGCAGCGGGCCAGCGGGTGAGAGAGACAGCAGTGCGTCTCAGTGCTGGAGCAGGAAAGGGGGCACCATGTGTGGCATTAGAGCATTAGAGCAGATAAGAGCACGGGTGCTGTAATTCTGCCTCCCATTCAGGCAGGGTCAGGTCAGGTGCTCTTATCTCCTGCTGCAGATGAACTGCTTCCACGAGCATTCAACTGGAGAGTCCTAGGAAGGAGTGCAAAGCAAAGGATGTATGGTTAAAGAAAAGAATAGGGTAATACTTTGTTCTTCCCCCTCCCCCAATTTGGGGGTTTTAATTTGAAGGTATTACGTTAGCCAAGTGGTGACTGCAGATGGATCTGAAAGATTCATAACGTTGGCAGCGTTTCCCTCCTGAGAAGTGTGAGAAGCTACTGTACATAAACCAGTTTTCTTAACATATAGAGGCTGGGCAGCATCCTCTAGGCAGCCATCAGTCTTTGTGGAAAGGAGCATGCTGTTTTGGCCTGTCTGAACTTGTTTTTCTTTAATTTCAGTTTCCCTTTTTATGTCTCCTAAACACATCAGTTTACTGCCTTTTACCAATAGATTATTTGTATGAATCAGGATGGGCTGCTGACCTTGCACAGGTACCTGTTCAATACACAGCGCGTTTGTTACACGAATCTACCATTGAACAGATTGTAGGGCTCTGATTGCCTTAAGAGAACTAACTCCTCTCCCCTTACATTAACAGGAAATGTGACTCGTCTTTTACATACTGCTTGGAAGCACTGAAGGTAGCAGGACTGCAGTTTAACCCATCTGTAAAACAATTGATCTGCTTAAAACTCCTGATGCTTGAGCTAGTTCTGTTTGGCCCGCAGTGCCAGAATGAGTGGCATACAGCACTGGAAACCTCTCCCATTTTCGTACACATTTTCTCAGCTAATCTTGGACACAGTCATGTGTTCTTCAGCAGCGTGCTCAACAGGTTACTGAACAATTAAATTTGAAATTTGAGAAATCCCACAAAGACAGCTCTACTGACTCACTTGAAGGGTTAGCTGTTGAATTATTTTGGCTGTAATTTATTTATTTGGTATCTGTTATTGTAATTCTGAAAAATACACTTTAAGCAAATTAATAAACTTTCAATTTCTGTATTAAATTGTCACTTAATCAGCAATAATTCCAGCACATTCAAAACTGTAATACATTTATAATATGCTTGAGCCCCAGCTCTTCTTATATTACAAATACCACTACTACCAAGCAAATGTGATTATTATAAAGATGAAAACATTATAATAATTTCCATTATTGTTGCCACCACTAGAAATAATACTTATATTCTTAATATTATACTTTATAATAATACTAATACAAACCACTGAAATTACAGCTCTGCATGAAGTGGAGACAAGTTCAGACTTTCTTTTCACTACGTCTTTTGAGAAAATCTTATTGTTCTTTTGCATAAATGGCTCTTATTTTGCACCTTAAGTCTTTGTACAATGTTCACATTTTAAAATACTTTTCCTTAAAGCAAAAATGCATCTCTGATATTCTTTCCAACAATTTGTCTTCAGAGTAATAAGAAGAACTATAATTTGTGTAGTTTTTTCATATCATAGTCCTAACCATAATGTATTGGTAAAACCTAAAAAAAAACCTTTTCTTTATTTTAGTTTTAATTTTATTTTAACTGTCCAGCCTGACCTTTATAAATGACTTTCATTTGGAATTCAGAATCTTTCGTTAGCAGTAACCCTCTGGGCAAAATCACATGATTTATATATCAAAAGTCCGTTTTGAACCTCATGTGTGTTTGATTAGACATTATGTGGAAACCTCATTAAGTTTAATTAGCATATCAGGCTGAAAGAAAACAACAGTTTTTAATTGCTAAAAAGACAAGAATGTGCTGACATTCCATTTTTAAATCATAAATGTACTGTATTAATTAATAAATATCATTAATAAGCAATTGTTAAACAAATATGATAATTACAGATAGAGTGGTTGGGAAGTGAAGCTGAATTCATGGTAAATAAATTAGAAACACTTTCTCATTAATTAAATTCAGGTAAGTAACTCATATTTTGTTCAAGATGCTATTTGTGTGCAGCTTAACTTCTGCGTAGAGAGAATCCATATCCATAAGAAATAATTAATTAAACTTCTCTTCCATTCTTTTTATTGGGACAAAACAAAAATGATAAAGGCATGCATGCCTTTTTAATTTCTTTAACCCTTTGTATCTTACATCATGCAACTTATGAAGTACCTGAGTCTTTCTAAAAACTACCTTATTATCATCTTTAATTGAAAAGATCAATTCAAGGGCATAGTTACAATTCATTTTTAAGTCTTTATATACTGTATGTAGGCAGTGTCTTAAAGTATATTTTTAACTTGTTAAAATAATATTTTTAAATTTGTGTCTTGTTAGTTACCAGTATTGTCCTTAATGAAAACTCCTGGGGGAAAATTGTTGGTATATGGTGAAAGTTGTATTGCCCTTCAGCGTACAGATAAAAATAAGTCTTGCGACTGACATGATATGTTTTCTATGGTTATACATGTAACTAATTAGAGCTATAGCTACATATTAGCTTGAAATGCTTGTATGAAAACAACACTTTGGACCAGCTTCAGTAGAACACAGCAGTTTTCTCTGTGATTCATTGGTATGTTTCAGTGCAGGTTGGTAAAAACACATTAACAATATCATTTTGAAAACAAAAAGATTACCAGAGCAAAACATGGGCATCTACAAAGCATTTTTGTGGAGATGACCTGCAGAATCCCACCTTCAGTCTAATTAAGCAATTTCCACCTCATTTCCCACGGGCTGTTTATAATGAACACACGTTTGTTGTACCATACTGTAGCTGGTCTGATCACGACAGGAAGCACTGACAGCTAAAGACTGCAAAAAATGCAGCTTTTTTGGTTTTAGTGATTTGTATTGACACAAATGTCTTTTGCTCATTTTGTTTTTGTTATTTTGGCATTGTATGCGTGCTTGGTTTTCTAACGGGAATTACGATTGCGTGGCTATTTATACACTGTTTGGGTTTCACTTGCAGTTTCCAGAGAGGACTCCAGCCAGTCAATTGCATCCTGTCTGGCACTAATGCATTCTCCCATGGAGGCCTCTGCTGACAAGATCCCAGGCAGGGACGTGAAAGCCATGGAGTCGTCTCTCGGGTATGTCTCTCCTGTCCCTGCATGCCAGCAAAAGGCCCTTATTTGTCATGCATGCCGTTGTGTGTGTCTGAGAAAAAGCGCTTTCAATTATTCATCTGACCAGATATTTCATTCTCCCATAGCTCGTAACTGCACTGGGCACACTCTGCTAAAGATGTAACTGATCTGCAAAGCCTGTGTGCTTGACATCTGTAAGGATTTCACAGGAACTGGGCCAACGCTCAAGTGCTCCTATCAGGGTTCTGCAGGTTGAGCCTACTTCTGCCACCCTGCATTTGAAGAAAGCAGCGTGCGCATGTCCTCGTGGTTTTCAGTCTGCTGCCTGACTCTTTGATATTGCTTTGTGCATCGGCCTTTTGTGTTCTCGGTGGGAAGGAATCTTTTCTTTTTCTTCTTAGTGATCTTCACGATTGGCAGGATTGTTGCTCTGGCAGTGTTGCAATTTATCGTGTTGACATGGAGCCTGGTCTCTAAAGAAGTCTTGCTGTCAGGCCAGCAGAGTTTGCTGAATTATTTGCATCTCTCCTGACAGCTCGTCTTGTGTTACCACTTTGCTGTTCATTTGCCCAGAATGTGTTATATTCTTATAGAGCAACAGCCTGGTGTGGATGTATTCAGACACTTTATTTTAGCCTTTGCTGCAACTGAGGGTTTTTTTTTTTTGGGGGGTTTTACATGACAACATAAAACCATAATGAGCCACAAATCTAAAATTCCTTCACTTACAGCTTTTGAAGGATCACAAAGTTTACCACTGCTGCATGAAGCAAAATTACATGCAGAAGCCAGGAGTTTTAGATATTCTTTAATAACATAATGCACTACTATATATGCTTCATATTTTTAATCTTACATTTATACAGCCTGAAAAAGTCATTCAGTTGCATTTCTAATATGTACAGTAGTTCTGTCAGCTGGGAAGTCCTCCAAAAGAGTCTTAAACTCAACCATTTCTGAAAATATAAATTACTGTAAACCTCTGTTTTTAGCTGCCTTGTAAAATTAAACAGATGGGAGGAATCTGTGTTATCAGATTTACATATAGTAGTGATGTAAATTAATCTCTGTTTCTTTGAATGTTGCACTGCGGCACTATACTGCATATCAGGTTAACTAATTACACTGTAATTTATATCTTTACAAGTTAGTTAGAATTTCCCCAGGTGTTCCTGTGGTTTTGATCTGTAATACACTTTTTCACAATCAGTAGCCTGATTTTGAAGGAGTTTTCTAAAAATACAAATGCAAAAAAATCACTTTAGCCTTGGTTATAGTGCTATCCACCATGCCTCGCTGACTCTGATCTCCAGACACAATTCTATCATGTCTCTCACTGCTGATATGATATGTGCACAAATAATTTGGTCTTTGGACATTGTGATATTTCGTGGAACTTTTTTTCTATGGTTTTTGCCAGCTTTAGACTCAATATCTCCGGAAAAGAGAAAACGCCGGTGGGGAATCGCTCTGTCCATGTTTTTAATTTCAAAGAGGAGCGTTAAGACTGGTGATGAAAGGTTATTCTCTTGTTGGAAGAGAAGGTTTGCACCTTAGCTGAGCTGCTACTGGCATGGTTGTGGGGCAAACAGGGAGACATCCGTGCGAACATCTGATTTATCTGCTTCTGTTAAGGGGAAGAGCTGCTGGCAGTGATGCTGTTATTGCATGCCCACAAGGCTGTCGGGGAGGTGAGAGTGGAGCCGCATTTCTTGTCTTCCTGGGTCCTCTAGCAGTGTCTAGCTGAGTATCAGAGCAAAAAAGATATCTGCTTTGTCACATATCCTTCACCCCAGCGCAAGTCGGTTATCTTTTAAGTGGCCAGACAGTGGACTCTAGTGAGGACATCGGCATTTCTGTGCTCCACCACCAGACCAGACCCAGGAAGGGCATCACCTGAGTTTTTGTCCTTAGTACTGGCCAGTCATGGATGACCTTTCCCTGGGTCGAATTTGTCCACCCCCCACAGTGTAACCCAGATAGTGGGTCGAGGAGAAGCTTTTCACTGGGTTTATGTGCAAGCCAGCTTCTACTTGAACTTGAACTT